TTCTTCCGTGTTTCTCCGATACGCGCGAAATTGCCGAACAGATTTCCTTTTTTATCGGTTACCCGATTGTGCAATGGCGAATAATTAAACGCTCGGTTTGAAATCATTCTCGTCGGATCAGAATCAGAAACACCCAGCGTCCACTGGATGGAATACTTTTATTTTGTTCCGCGCTTAATGAACTTATGCGCGTAATTACGTGCAACGACCTGTTACTCTGCGAAATATCTGGCGGATGCTTGCTTCTCTTAATGGCTCGCTCCGTCGAATAAACACCCATAGAATCTTCTTTTATATTCTTGTAGTATCGCGCGTGCACAGATGTTTTACAATCCTGATAAAATAATTTTCTGTTGCAATATTGCGCGAGATGAAACGTCTCGTAAAAAAAGCATCTTCGGGCCGCGATCTTTCACGGCCACGCGAGCGCTCGGTGCTTGTAACGACTTACGAGATCCTTTCGCTCCTCCTGCTGCCTCGAGGAGTTTTCCGCGATCTGAGCGAGGACAAAACTTGGCCTGGAGCCAAAGTAAACGCGCGAGGAAGTTTTATCGCGCGAAACTTGCTCGGTCGGAGCCGATTAAGCCAGTCGATACCATAAGTATTCCGCTCGCTTTTATTCACCGAACAAGCGGACCGAGAGGAAACGCTAGCTGGATCGCTGGCAACGAACCGTTTAACTCGCTCGTTCGAGTCCTTCGAAGGAGTTTGCGAGTAGCTAGACTACGATTCCAGAACGACTGCTTAAGTTTCAGCTTCTTCTCTGCCGGAGAAACGTCTTCGGAGACGGAGAGGAAGAGACTGACGGCAACATTATCGTGTTTTAATTTAACTTACGGCTGCACTTTAATTAGACTTCGTCTGAATGAGAAGACGACGAGAAGACGAGCAAAACGAACAAGACCGTGCCAAAGTCTCTTCCCCTTTCATCGTCCGCTTCTGCTACCTGACTTCTTCTCCCAGTTTCTTGTTATCGTCTTCGTATACGAAGGTTGCGCGAAAGATCGGGGACATATCGAGAAACTTGCGAGGAATAATTCGACAAGGTTATTTTCTTTCGAGTTCTATGAACCAAACTTTTATATTTAATGTTCTTAAATCTTCGAGAGCCAGGAATATTCTATAAAATTCGGCATATTATGCTTCGTTTTGAGGACAAATAAAGTTTAAACATCTCGCTTCCAGAGTGATATTACGATTGACACCCTCCTTATCTGTTCGCGCTTAATGAACGCCGAAACTGTCGCGAAGCCCTTTCGATACGACACTTTCCGCTGCTTCGCGTAACAATTACAACAATGTCTTTTACCGATCACGACAAAGATCAAAGAGACCGAGAAGACTTATCGAGACTGCGGGAAATAAACTCGTAGATCGACGGGGATTAATTCCGTAGACGAAATTGGGGCTCACGCGTAGCTATGGCTGCTTGTAAAGTTCGATTATCGTTCGCGTCATTTTCTTCAGATCTTTATTCGAGATCTAAAAGAACTACAACGGAAGATATTTGACGAATAATTGTTTACATTAAAAAAGGTGCAGAGAGAGATCGAAAGATTATTCGATATTCAAGGAACCTTGCTCGTCGTGATTTGTAAAATTGGGCCACATTGTACCCATATATTTTTTTTTCAAACGAAATCGAGAGAGAAAATTGAACAATTTCGCGCGTAAAGAGCTATTTCGCATTCTAAAGAGATCGGTTTCGCGAATCCTTTCAATACGTACTCCGGCCGATTCGCGATCAACGGTCGCATTCGTGAAAAAAACATTCCAGAAGATTCCAGATTTCCTGGCTTCTCATTTGAGAATCCCTGTCCGAGGTCGAGAGCACTTATTCGGGCCATAACTCCCGCACGCGTTCCCTCCGTTTCTGCCCTCCCGCCCTCATAAATACATGAGACGGCGGGCACGAGCACACGGAGGAGCAAGGGAACGACGAAAACGACGACAAACCAGGCAATGGGGCGGGAACGGATGCGAAGCACGGGATTCCGGGACTTTAAAACAAATATATCGCGCGTAAATCCAACGTGGATGTAAGTCACAACCCGGGGAGACATTCAGCAGGCAGGTCGAGCGAAAAAGAGGGGAAGAAGGTAGCAAATCGTCGTTGCTTTTGCTTTACATATTTCCCGCTGGAATCTCTCCTGTCAAAGATAAGAAAAACGACATGCGAGGGAAAAAGATAAAGTCGCTTCTCAAATTCCTCGCTGTCCATCCAAAGATGCTGTTGCGAAAGCGAAGATGAAACTTTATAAAAATTAACGTGGTTTTTAAAGTTGAACGACAAACGTATCGAGTGGATAAGGAATTTTGCAAAGAATCTCGTTTATATTTGATCGATCCTGTTGTTGTTTTTCTGACCAAGTTGGATACAAAACTCGTCCAAGCGAGCACGATTTCGCAATTATTTCTTAGAATGTCTCCGTAACCGGTGGTTCGCGATTGAATGTTAGGGCGAGAACGCAACGGGAAAAACGGAACATTTTTTCAACGCCGTGGAAACAAATTACTTGAAAATTACTCGCCTGGGATTGACGTTTGATCGCGTCGCTACACGCTCTCTCTCTCGTTCTCGCTCGCTTATCCTGGAAGGTAACGTAGTATAAGGTAGTGCTCGAAGGTAGGTCGAATCGTACGACACATTTCTATACCGGTAAGTTCGCACACAGTCGAAGAAGTACACGTGTGAAGGGTACACGCACGCGCGACAACCTCTTCTCACCCTTCATCTCGTACGATTTTCTCCTCCACGCCGGTTTCGCCACTTTTCACTCCTTCCCTCGTTCCTTTACCCTTTTCCCTTTCTTCCTCGCCCCGAATCCTCTATCTTTCTCTCGCTTTCTCGCTCTGTCTCTGTCCCCTTTTCTCCTCCTATTTACGTCGCTTTTCGCATTATCGCCTTTTTCGTCGAGCAAGCCCGGGTTAATTCACTGGAAATTATTCATTTGCCTAATTGCCACTCGTCGACCTGGATCGTCGAGGCTTCGCTCGCTCGGCAACCTCGAGCCTTCATCCCTCCCCTTTCAACTCCCGTTCACTTCGACTCCGATTCCTATCCGCGACAACGACGAGTTACACCTTTCATTCTACGACGGAGCTTCACGCTTCGTGAAAAGCAACGGTGTTTCGTTAATTTGCGGCTCTCCGATTCACCCTACCTGCCAATCGTATCGCGATCGCCAGAGATTCATACCCACGACGCGTGACCTGGAGTTCCTTGCTCGATAGTCTCGTGATTTTTCCCGCGAAAGCGAAAGAAATTTCTGCGGCAACAGTCGATTCCGATCTCGCAGAATTACGGTTCGCGAGGGTGGCAATCGGCAAGAGACGGTGTTGCAGTGGTCGAGCGTACGTTTCCCGTGGACTAGCACCAGGACTCATGAATACCGAAGTATTTGCACACGGTGCACCGATATACGCGACACGCAGACACTTTCAGGCGAGTATACGCGACTTGTGACCGCGTGTACACGCGTCGGAGCACGGTGTGTCGGTGTTTGGTAACGCGACAGGAAAGTCCCCGGGGGCTTAATACGGTATGCACGTCTGTCGTTCGTCAGCTCGACCCAATGTGGGCACGAACCAACTACCAGCTAATATTCCAGTAGAGGGCCCTGGGCTACGTGCACGAACTACCAAATACCTTGCGAAACCTGTGGAAACTCGTGATCCGCCGGTGAGCCACTTCCAAGCGAACGGAGGCGGGTTATTTTTCGCGAAGAAACAGACTCTGGACATTGGATAGCTCAAACTCGGTACGAACATTACTCGAAGGTCGGGTCTACTTCGAAACAAGTCGAAACGATGGATCAAACTTTTCCTACGCATAGCACAATATAGAACTTGAATTACTTTTGTTGCGTCTAGCAGACAAAACGTCCGCTACAGATAATCAGCGAACGGTAACATAGTGACGGGTTTCGTTACCAAACCTTTAATAAGCTGGATACAGTGACAAAGCCGAAACAACCAACCCCTGTCCCAAAGTTCAAAAAATCTCGCGTAAAATGTAACCGTCCTCCCCCGTTGCAATTAGGAATCATCCTCCATTACACGGTACAATTACCTTTGTGGAATATTCGAAACCATAAAAGCGACAAGAGCCTATATAGATCCACGGAATCAGCGAACGAATCGATCAGCATAGCGACGAGTTTTCACGGAGCCGCGAGCGGGAAATTTCGGCGCCCGGTCGCGATTAAAATCCCGCGGCGCGTCGCATCGAAGCAGGCGACAATGGCGGACCGAAAGTTCGTTTGCGACGCGTTTACGGGGCATCGGATGGTTTTAAAGCTATTGGGCAGCGATGGCGGGTGGCGGGATCGGTTGGCCAGAGGGGACGACTTGTACAATAGCAAAGCGTGGAACAAAGCCTATCCACGGGTAATTCGAAATTCGTATCGTCCTATACCCGCGCGTCCGTAATTAACGGTAACCCCGTGTCCTGGCCCGATTAAAAAAAAAAACACGGTATAATTGTACACGGTATAATGACCAGCCGTCAGGATTTTAACGAAGTTCGATCCGTTAGCGATGCCACCGGTTCGTTTTCGAATTGGAAATCCGTCGACGCAAAGGATTATATTTTTTCCACGAATACTGTTAAAAATTTTAGAACGCAACTTGGATTGATCGCGTCCGTTTATTTCTCTGGCAAGAGCGGTCGATTTCGGAACCACCGTGTTTCGTTATAATACGAAACAAGGTAAAATTTAACAAGCGAAAGGTAACTTTACGCGTTAGAATACGACTAGGCATCGGAATCTCCTTGCCGTAACGAAGTAGTGAAAGACACAAGGGGTCAAACCTGTACGTCGAAAGAGAATCTTCTAGAATCTAAGCGGAAAGGAGAACCGAAGAAAGTTGAAAAGAATTCGCGTCGTTCGGCCCAATTCGTCAACAACCGGTGAAAAGTGTTTTGTCCGTCGTCAGAGACAACCCTTATCGCGTTCCAATATCTCCGACGATAGACGGAGAAAACGCAGCCGTTATCGATGAATATTCATCGCGCGCTACCAGTTCGCGTTCTCGATCCAGCTCATCCAGCTATCTATCTTTCTGATGGAAACGAGCGACGAACAGGAGAAGAAGAGGAAGAAGAAACGGAAACGGAGACGAAGGTAGGTAGGCGAGGGTAGGTAGGTAGAGCGCGAGCGAGAACGATGAAAAGGGGATCGCGGGCTGTGTCGAATAATTGCCAACTATTCCAGGCACGCAGCCGAAGACGCGGGGGAAACGGTTCTTGGCGAGGCTGGAGGAGGCAAGAGGGTACTGCGAGGCGGGTCGAGGGAACAGGACGAAGAGAATGGAGGCGGAAAATGCGAGAAACAAAGAGGAGAGCGAGGAGACGACGAGAAGGAGAAAGGCAGAGCTCCTCTAGGGGTCTCGATGCGAGACAAGGAGGCGAACGGGGGCAGAGTAAAACGGGCAAGAGAGAAGAACGCGCAGAAGGGCAGAGAGAGCAACGGAGGAGAAAAGGAGAGTGGGAGTTGCCAAGATGGCGCCACGAAGAGTAGCAGTGGTCGGAGGTAGGAGGTGAGAGGTGGAGAACGTGCTCCAGCAAGAGGAAGGGTAAAAGATAAATGACGTGTCCACCGCCTCCAACGGCAACCTCGACTGCCACCGACATCGCCGCGAAGACGCGGCGAAAGAAGAAGAAGAGGAAGAAGTAGAAGAAGAAGAAGTGGCGAGGGGCCGACGGGAAGCCTCCATTAAACATTGGCTCGCTTGCTTACCCTTTAGCCTCTCCTTGGTTTCCTTCGCCTCGACGCTCCTTACCTTCGCTCGCGGCTTCTGCCAGGGATTATGGATCGAGTTCCTACTAACTTTCTCCTTTTTTTATCGTCCCTTCAGAGGACTGACTTTTCCGTGTCGCGTTTACGTTCACAAAAAACCTCGTTCGATACTTTCTACCTTTCGAGGTAGGTGTGTTTAAACCTAATTTAACTTTAGTGTCTTCTTCGCAAAATCCGATCAATTTGCCGACTGCTCATGGTCGAGGCAATTAACGTCGTAGTACCTACGCCAACGGTTGACCCTAATCGTACTAAATTATTAAGCCTTAGCCAAATAAACGAAAATCGATTATACGCATGAAAGTAAAACTGCTTTGTAAGAGTGGCACGTGCACACGAATTGCTCGGTTTGAATCTGTTGTTCGCGCAAAATTTGCAAAGTAAAAAGCCAACGAAAACTCGAAAGAACTCACCTATTTCGCCGTGGCCAACATCGGAGGATAATCGTACCACCTGCAACAGAAAAGAAACGCACGAATTAATCCCAAACTTTGTACGAAACTGGAACTCAACAAATTTTCACCCTGCTGAACGAACATCCCATGAAAAAAAAACTTTCCCTGCGAGAATTATTCGCAGGATGGAAAGTTTCGTGAACTCCCCGCGCGAGTGGCCACCTTCCGCGAAACTTCTTCGCCCTTCAATTCGTATCGAGCTACGTTTTCCGGTCTGAGAAACACAGGTTTACGGGAGTTCACGGTTCCGTGAACCGCGCCACGAAGAAAGAGACAAGAGATCCGTGTTACCCCTCGTTTCAACCATCGAGCGTTATGAACTATCGGAAGACACATTAGCGCAAATCTGCGAAGCCAATAACTGGGCCCGACGCGAAGCGTCGCCAAGTAGAAGAAGAAGAAGTGGCGAGGGGCCGACGGGAAGCCTCCATTAAACATTGGCTCGCTTGCTTACCCTTTAGCCTCTCCTTGGTTTCCTTCGCCTCGACGCTCCTTACCTTCGCTCGCGGCTTCTGCCAGGGATTATGGATCGAGTTCCTACTAACTTTCTCCTTTTTTTATCGTCCCTTCAGAGGACTGACTTTTCCGTGTCGCGTTTACGTTCACAAAAAACCTCGTTCGATACTTTCTACCTTTCGAGGTAGGTGTGTTTAAACCTAATTTAACTTTAGTGTCTTCTTCGCAAAATCCGATCAATTTGCCGACTGCTCATGGTCGAGGCAATTAACGTCGTAGTACCTACGCCAACGGTTGACCCTAATCGTACTAAATTATTAAGCCTTAGCCAAATAAACGAAAATCGATTATACGCATGAAAGTAAAACTGCTTTGTAAGAGTGGCACGTGCACACGAATTGCTCGGTTTGAATCTGTTGTTCGCGCAAAATTTGCAAAGTAAAAAGCCAACGAAAACTCGAAAGAACTCACCTATTTCGCCGTGGCCAACATCGGAGGATAATCGTACCACCTGCAACAGAAAAGAAACGCACGAATTAATCCCAAACTTTGTACGAAACTGGAACTCAACAAATTTTCACCCTGCTGAACGAACATCCCATGAAAAAAAAACTTTCCCTGCGAGAATTATTCGCAGGATGGAAAGTTTCGTGAACTCCCCGCGCGAGTGGCCACCTTCCGCGAAACTTCTTCGCCCTTCAATTCGTATCGAGCTACGTTTTCCGGTCTGAGAAACACAGGTTTACGGGAGTTCACGGTTCCGTGAACCGCGCCACGAAGAAAGAGACAAGAGATCCGTGTTACCCCTCGTTTCAACCATCGAGCGTTATGAACTATCGGAAGACACATTAGCGCAAATCTGCGAAGCCAATAACTGGGCCCGACGCGAAGCG